CGCGCCGCAGCGGCCGCTCGCGCCTTGGCGGGGGGGAAGGGGGGGCGCAGAGGTCAGGAGGGGGAGGGGGAGGGGGAGGGGGAGGGGGCGCCGCGCACCTTGAGCGCCATGTGCAGCGCCAAATCGCCGGGCCGCCGCGCGGGCGGCGGAGGCAGCGGCGGCGGCAGGTCTTCCTCCCTCTCCTCGTGCAGCGCCAGCTCGGCCTCGGTGCATGGCGCCGCTGGGAGGCGGCCACCGCCAGAGTGTGCGGGGCCCGCCCCTCGCAGCTCGGCTGCAGCCTCCGCCGCAAAGCCTCGAGGCAGCTCTCCCCGAGACGGCGCCTCTCGGGACGAGTCGCGCGGAGGGGCCTCCGCCTCCCGCCGCTCCGCCTCCCGCCGCTCCGCCTCCCGCCGCTCCGCCTCGAGGCGCCGCTGGTCCGAGCGGCCGCCAGCTGTCCGGCCGGCAAGCTCGCGCGGCGGGCCGTGCCCTCCTTCTCCACGCCGCGCACCCTCTTGCGGCTTCGCCTCACGTGGCTTGGCCTCGCGCTGCCCTCCTCCTCCTCCTCCACCTCCTCCACCTCCTCCTCCACCTCCGCCTCCTCCTCCTCCTCCGCCTCCTCCTCCTCTGCCTTCAACTCCCGCGGCTGGGGCCGGAGGGGGGTTGGCCGTGGTCTGGCGGACAAATGCACAGGCGGCTGGCTTCCCGCGCTTGCTCGAGGCGGGCGGCACAGCGGTGCCGCCCGCCGCCTGCGCACTCGCCGACGCCGGCTTGGCTCCGCTCCTGTCCGCAGGCCGGCCGGGGCCGGCTGGCGGCTTCCCTTTCTTTGCGGGCCGCCGGGCGGCGGCCGCCGCCCTGCGCGCCTGGGCTTGGCTCTCCTCGGCGAGGAGCTGGCCGGCGGCGGCGTTGGCCGCCTTCTCGTGGTAGGTTGGGCCCCTCCGCGCCGAGCTTCCCGCCCCAGTCAGCAGGCGCAGCCCTCGCAGCCCTCCGCGCGCCAGCATGCACGCAGCCGTCGTCGCGAGGGCGGCCGCGCGCTCGCAGAGCTGCAGCGCGGAGAAGAGGAGGGAGGGAGGGAGGAGGCCGACCAGGAAGATGGCCCCGCGGGCGACGCCGTCGATGCCCGCCTCGAGAATCTTCCACGGGAAGGAGAAGAGCCACCACAGCCACTGCAGGACCTGCACGCCGCACCGGGGGGCACCGTCTCGGGGCGGCGCCGGAGAGGGAGGCGGGAGAGGGAGGGGGGGCGAGGGGGGCGCGGAGTGCGGCGGGCCGGGCAAGAGCGCGCGGTGCGGCGCGCCAGCGACTCGCTCGGGGCGTCGTAGGCCCAGTCATACCACCAGCGCTCCCAAAAGCGCCACGAGGAGGGACGCGGAGGAAGCAGCTGCTCGCGTGCCATCAGCTGGAGGGAGCGAGCGATCATTCGCTCGTCGACCGAGTAGTCGGGCATCGCTACGTCCGCTCGCACTGTGCGGGGTCGCACGCCTGGAGCGGGCAGCTGGGCTCAGAAACATCAAGCGAAAGTTGCGAGGCGGGGCGCACGGCGCGGGGCAGGCGAACGAGGAAGCGCGAGAGCCAATCGGGCGCGAGCGCATCGGATGGAGCGGCTAAGCACGCGAGGAGGAGAAGGCGGCGCGCTCGCACGCACCGGAGCGCCTGATGCAGAAGAGGCGCGGGGTGCTCTTAGCAAGCAGCAGCGCTCCCAACACCTTTGGCTCGAGGAGCAAAGCTATTTTCTTTTTAGGGAAGGGTGTCTTTTCCGAGAGGCTCCGCCTCTTGGCTGTTCTCACCTTCCTAATCCGCTGCCTCCAGGCGGCTCAGGCGGCTCAGGCGTAACCCAACCTGTCTCTTCTGTTTGCACACACACACACACACACACACACAAACAAAACACAAAAACAAACATCTCTCTCTCTCTCTCACACACACACACACACACACACAAGTTTTCTAAAATCTCACACAGGGCCGTATTTTTTCTTTTTGGGGATGAGGTGTGTTTCACCTTTCTACCTACCTACCTCCGAGTGTAAAGAGTGTAAAGTCCGAGAGGCTGTTCTCACCTTCCTGCCTAACCCAACCTGTCTCTTCTGTTTGTCGTCGCTCGCGCGTGTCGTCGTCTTCTGTCTCGCGTCCACACCCCTACCGCGCTGGTGTCCAGCCCGAGCCAGGCAGGCTGTTGTTCGCCTTTCTATCAATCAATGAGCGGGACTCCGTTACACTTACACACTTACTCACCACACCACTATCTCTCTCTCTCTCTCTCTCTCACACACACACACACAAGCAAGCAACTCACACACACAAACACACACACACACACACACACACACACACACACACACACACACACACACACACACACACACACACACACACACACACACACACACACACACACACACACACACACACACACACACACACACACACACACACACACACACACACACACACACACACACTGGGATTGCTAAATCTCTCTCTCTCTCTCTCTCTCTCACACAGCGGACGGACTACGCTCTACGCACTTGGAGCACTTGGAGCGCAGTCAGTAACCTCACCATCCACAGGGCCGGGGAGCTATAAAGAAGCACACCCAGCGGGCCGGATGATCGGCATCGGGTTGCGGGCAAGAGAGCCCTAGCCCTGGGGGGTGCGCGGTCGCAGGGCCATAACACGGGTCTCCGAGGGTGGCCCCGCCGCGCGTACCGGGTTTCCCCTTAACTGCAGGACGCCCCCTCTACTCGCGGAGCTAAAGAATACTCTCCGAGGGTTGGTTCCGTGTACCAGGTTTCCCCTTAACTGCAGAACGCCCCCTCTACTCGGAGCTAGTGATACGAGAATACGACCGCCTCCACGCAATACCATACTGCGCGACGAGAATACGAGAATACGAGAATACGCAGCTGCGAGACGCCTATAAAGAAAAAGCGAGGTAAAGTTCGGCGGCTATGATAAACCGAAAGTTGTCGTAAAACGCGGGCGAAAGCAAAGCAGAGGGCGGGCGCTTTTTGCCGCAGCGATGCCCTCTATGGGGATCGGCTTCTTACACTGCCCTTCCTCGCACGCAGCGAGCCCCGACTCCAAACCCACCCGCGCTAGGTCCTGCTCCTAGGTGACGTAGGGGAAACCCGGCGAGCCATGGGGAACTAGCCGGGGCAGTCGGAGAAGCAGAAGGGCGGCCAAAGGATATGTTATTTATCCACCTCGAGAAACCTCGATCGAGAACACACACACACACCTACCTCGGTACACGGTAGCGCTTGCTGTCTGCCCGGGGACCCGTTGCGTTTTTGTGGTTCACGCAAAACAACACAAACTCTCTCTCGCAAAAAACAACAAAAAACTCAACCATCCAAGTGCTCAACCCCGGGCCCACAAGAGAGACAGCTAGTTTTTGGTTCACAGGTGTGTGGTTGGCTTTTGGAATCGGATGTGGCCGCTATTTTGGAGGTTAGGCTTGTTAGACCTAAAGGTCGGC